TTTGCCATCGGGGTTGGGTTTTCGTCGGTTGGCAACGACGTTGTAAAACAAGCTCCCCTTTCGGTGTTTGCCATCGGGATTGGGTTTTCGTCGCTTGGCAACGACGTTGTAAAACTAGTCAATTCATTTCGTGAACTCGGCAACCAGGTTACCGTTTTTTTTTTCTTACCTCTGTTTTTTTTTGGCGGTAACCATGTTGTGCGGGGTGGAGAAGCCTCACTCCGCGCAAGGGGGATGATCGCACCACGTTGTGTTAGAATGGTCAAGCACCCTCGAGGTAGTTACACAGTGCTTAGTCTACAACTGTCTCAGGAAGTGAAAGCACCAGTTAATAAATTAAGTCATACGCAGCTGTCATCCGTACTAAGGACAAGGTGCCGAACACCCTTAGCAGGATGCAGCGCACCCTTCATGCGACTCGCCGAATGCCTCACGGCGCTTCCCGCTTGGGATGTGAGAGCCTGGTCCGGTGAGAACCCGGCGTGCTCCGTCCCGGCTTTGTAGGGATGCGAGGTCAATGGTCTAACGACTACGGTATGCACGACTATGAGTACACCCCCCCCCTCACGACTCAAAAACCAAGACGTTCTCGACAACTCATCGTCAGCATTCCACAAAGGGAGCGCGAGACAGCGTGAGATGAATAAGCTAACACGAGCCTATGCACACGACCGTTGGCAAACTCGGTGACCTCTCTCTCGGACTTGCGCGCCCTCACCAAAGCCAGCCCTTGATGGCCGATACCGCCCAAGAGACCTACCGGTACACATACAGTTCAGTATAGTATACTATAGTAGTGTACTTGCAACACTGTAGAATAGGGTACTTGTACGCAGCACCGCGGACTACATAAGGCCGCTAGCGGAGTGCGGGTGCGTACTTGGTGACTTCGACCTGGCCGCTGGCCGTGAACGACGTTCCCCCGTTCACGAGCGGGATGAGATCTTTCGTTTTGAACTTCTCTCCTGCAGCAGCAGCAACAACAGCCGAGGAAAACGATATTGTGGGTGACATCGATTCATCAAATCCTGTGGAGATGGTGTGGTGCTGTTAACAGTAATGCTATCCTCCAAGGCAGCCTTCGGTTATCAGCTCACACAGAGCACCAAAACGACCACCGCCGGCAAGACTACTGGCTTCTTCGAGCCTCCGCAGAAACGCATTCAAGGTGTTGAATATGACGTCCCTCCTCACTCCTCCATACCTGTGACCGGGCAGGTCATCGTCGGCAAGGCGAACTGTTTGGCAGCATCCTCCAGCATCACGTGGCCAGTCCTAACAGAACAAACACATTGACATACACACAGATTACACTCAACCTTGTCAATATCAACGTGTAGGCACACGGGAGATCCAACACATGAATCTGACGGACGTGAAAATTTAGTGCATCACTTCCCCCCGACACACGTGGTGGATTTTAAGGTGAGGTAATAATGGAAGATGAACCGCTCGTGTCGAGGAGAAATGGCATGAAGTACAAGCTGCACCAACCTCGACGTGACCCACGACAACAAATGCCTAAGGTCGTACAATGGAACGTGGTTCAATTTAGAGCCTTTGGGCACCAAACGCGCCAAGTATCCGTGCAAACAGGTGCTCGGCCTGGTGGGAAGCCGGCCTCTGACAACTCTCTCTACACAAAAGGCATCCCGTTAATAGCTTAATTATCTTCGAAAACACCTCTGAGAACCATCTGTTTGAATCATGCTGACTTCCGCAATGAGCCCTAAACCTCACAGCTTCATGAACAGATGATAGACGGGGTGAGTCGCAAAAAAAGAGCAGTGAATACACTACATGACTACTGCAGCAACACACCTCTTGATGAGCACCGCCTTCTGAGAAATGATACCCTTCCGCGTGACAGGGCAGATGATGCTGCCTCGGTTACCGTCCCCTCCAGAGATGTGCGCCGTCTGCCGCGGCAAAAACAAAAAATGTGGCAGTAACGGTGAAGGAGCGCTGTCTAGAAGGGAACGCTCAGATGAAGTCTTGATTGTGCATGTGCCACCTATACACCCTGCGCTGCCGAAGCTACCATGTTTTGACGGTGAACATTCGCTAGAAGACACAACAACTTAAAATACACAGCTCGTTGTACTACAAAATGTGCGGTATACAATATCGTACCTCCTCACATCGCCATTTTCTAGCCTTGTGTAGGACAAGCCCGTTGACAACGTCCGTTACAGCTTGTTTCCAAGACATGCATACAACCTGCACGTCTACGGCCTCGTAGCCGCTCCTACATGACATCGGGCAACACGAAGTATCCCCATCAGGAAGGTACTGAAATCCGACCCTTATCCTGATTGGCCTACTGCTGTACAGGCACATACCTTTTCCTTCTCGCTGTCTAAGGTGAATATCACAGGGATCAAGTCCTTGGGCCGCAGGGGCTCCCCAGACATTGGGCTTCCCGGGCGCTTGGGAGGCTGCGCAACAGCAAACAGAAAACGAACAGCCGCGGCACCAGCGTTGTAGGCATGATTAAGAGGATCTTTGTGAATATTTGTCCACACCCAGACATCATGTACCAGCACGCGACGTGACATGATTTTGTAGCCAACGGTGCAGCGACTTGACCACGAAACGATGGCGGTATCTACATGGCGAGCAGCAGGCGCGGCCATCACACACCATCTTGTAATAAAAGGCACCAAGGCGTCCAACATGAGGCGGTAGAAGCGACACTCAGCATACACCATACACGCAACACTGCACTGCACCAAGCAGCATGTGCTACACCACAACAAAATGAGAAACCTGCTCTAGCAACACAGTGAACAACTCCGCTGCAGAGGCGGTCCATGCGATTACTTGACGGCCCCGTGGACCTGCCCTGCCGCTATATTTATAATAGTGCACTACGAAGAAACAGAAACTTGCGGTTATGTATGGTTGTGGAATGACATGTACGGTCATGGAATGACATCTATCCAGATGCTAGGGCTACATCTGGTGCCGACATATGGTCAACGTAACAAAGTGAGAAAAATCGATGAACAAGGCACTAAGTGGCAAAACATCTCGTAAAATACAACAAGCTGTGCAGGCATGCCACCCCCACCTGCACGATAGCTTCCTTGACACCCTCCGGCTGAAACTGCGGCAGCCACCAGCTGGTCATTCTGAGCTGGTCCTGCCGCTCCTTCTTGCTCTTGAGAACCGCAATCTGACTCAGTTCCTGAAACACGCAACGACCATTCAATCATGGAACGGCACACGTCAAGGGTTGGGGAGCTGTTGTAGAACAGAAACAGGGTTTTCAAAACAAGAGCACGCACGTGTCACTGCAAAACCCGCAGGTAATTTCAGCCCCATGGCTCGTGCAGAAACTACCACCGCGCCCTGTGATCAAACCCTCTCGCCGAGTACAAGCTGTGCCGCAAACGTACTCGGCGCCTCTCTTTGCAACAACCGCCGTGTGATCAGTACCTCTGCTTGTTGACCATCTGGTGCACGAACCTTCTCAATGACATGGTCCCCTTTCCCCTCTTTCCCTGCCGGTGCTGACAAATCCCCCCCCGCCCCGGTCTGCTCCTCCCTACCGCGCTTCTTGCCTTTGCCCTGCAGGCGCACCATTGTTAAGGGAGGTGTGAAGCGTTGGGTTGGGCCTACTGTCAAACTTCAAACATAACCTTGGGTTGACGTTATTGGTAAATTGTACTGTACTGTACTGTACTGTACTGTACAAAGCCATGTCATTTTGGATAGTAAGTGCAAGCAAGCCACTCGATCAAAGGAAAAAATGTGTACACCAGAACAAAGCATGTGCTTACGAACCGCACTACCGAATCCTCAATGACCCAACGAACACCTCAACGTACAAAAACTCAATATACATGCGAATCGCACGGCTTAATCCCAAACGACACGCGGTTCGGAGATTCCAGCTCGTGCACCGTGAACTGCCTTACGGGATTAACACGAAGCGTACAACGTACTCGGCGCGCGGTCGTCTCATGCGGCAAATCAGCAGTTCTTGGAATGTTTGGCAAAGGAATGTCGTGTGTGGGGGGAACTCTTACCGCAGGTCACAGCACAGTACCGTATCGGTGGAGACGATTCGATTGCCGCTTGGGCACGGGATTCATCAACATCAACAACAATGCTGGACATCTGCTTTTGCTTGGAGTTTGGTGAAAGAAGCAACGTGGGCAACCAATGCGAATTATCGGCAGGTATGACAAAAAGAGCCAGCGCATAAAACGTACCTCAGACTTCCCAGAGTCTGACGATTTCGGGGCTTGAGGCTTTGTGACGACGAGCTGCTGCTGGGCCGAAACGAAGTCGTTCGTGGCTTCCACTCTTCGACTCGCGTCCGCCGACACCTCGTCCGTAGCTGATGCCGTCATGACAGGTGGTATGATGCCAGGGGGTGTGATGTCAAGCGGCGCGATGACAGGTGGTATGATGATACATGGTGTGGTGTCAGGAGGTGTCATGTCAGGGCGTGTCATGTCACGCGGCGTGATGTCAGGCGGCCAGAGGCAAAAACAAGTAACGAACGAGCGGCAGAGTGGGATGCTCGCTGAGGAATGGTGGGAGCGTTGGTTTTGTGAGAAGCGCGGAGTGGCGGCGCCATGCACGCAACACAAGCATAGCACCACACAAGGCAGAATTGGACGATGATGGTTCAAGCTTCAAGGCGGGAAAACACGCACAACGTACCTACCAATGCGGCAGACAATACGCGCGGAAACAACAGACGCCAAGGTAAACAGACAGCATGCAAACGCTGAATGCATCCAGAGCACAATTGGTAGTATTGATGGACCCGTCATGAGTGCACTCCCGCCGCCGCCATGGTGTCATTAGCGCGAAAAACGCCACAACATCCCACACAAAAAATACTGCTGTACCCAAGCAGAGAAGTGCGTACAAGTAGGATGCCCACCAATGCGACAACTCGCCGAGTGGGTTGAGCAGCATTTCTTGAGGAAATCCGCAGCACCTTCTACGAATACGTGTAGCTATTTAACACAATGTATGAGCCCTAAATACGCCCCTACGCGTCGAAGGTCTGGCTCACGGTGGATAAAACAATACTCCACAGCACCCTCCCTCAACCTCAGAGTCTTTGCATGTTAACGGTACACTACATTGCCCGCAGGCATACCCTGAACTCGTCCTTAGTACCTCTGTTTCGTCGAACCGAATCCACAGTCACGTTCACATTTCACACCTTGGTCTTTCTGTTGCGCTTCGAACGCCTCCCTCTGACGCTTCAACTCCTGTGTCTTGGTTAGCAGGAACTCGACGATGCACTCCTTGCAATACACGTGACCGGACGGTGTGGCCATGGGCTCCACAGCCGGGTGGATGCACAGAGAGCAGTGTCCGAACGTCTGCTGGGAGTCTCCGCCCAGTCTCACCTGGAGTTGAGTTGAATTGCCAAGAGGGGGAGTTGAACAACACTTGCGCTACATGTGGAATAGGTGCACAACAGACAACCGTGACAAACAGCGTATGCATGTTGTGTGTACGTTTTCGTCCTATTTATTATGGCGACAGTCCCCCCATTTTTCGTGGTGAGACGTGCACTACACTTTTCAGCGTACGTGGAGTACTACACTTTTCAGTGTATTTTTTCGTACAACTACAACCATCCAGGGTCACACAGGAGGGGGTAAACACTAACTAGGGCTTTTTTCTTTAAATATAATATTTCTTTTCATGCCCCACCTTCCCCCTGCGGTGCGTGCTGAATTTTATTATTATCACGAGAAGGGTCCAGCCGTCCATTTCCTTCGTCAACGGTGCTAACGTCGAAGTTTGGTACTCACGAGAGCTTGTCAGCGATATTCGCTTTCACCCGCACATTTCGTAAATTTTTCACCCCATGGGGATTCGAACTCACGACCTCTGCGACTAGCGGATTACGAGGATGCCGCTAGACGAGGCGACCGCATACGCGTCCGTGAATCTGATCTGCATTTCATGCGAAGCCTAGATCCTCCCCAACGCAGTAGATACCACATGCTTCATCCCTCCCGACGTATCGGCAGTACATCAGTACAGGTCGGTGGTAATGGCATTAGTGGCGGTACCCACCGAGGACGACCAACGCCAGAGACGGCACAGATGCGGGCAAACTTGGCGCTATAAAAATACAATCTGCGGTTCCGGACAGTTGTTGGGCTACACAGGGAACGAGGAACCCGCTCTCTGGAGGAGAGATGCCTCATGGACAGCATCGTCAATTATCACGCACGTCTTGTTCCACTGGCATCTGCCTGTACCGCGACACCGACACCGACACCGACACCGAGAATCCCACCGGCCCGGATCCACCCTCCTGACGAAACGCTGCGAAGAACGACCCTTTCTTTCCGGTCGAGACTACTGCAGACAGCAGAATACCTTCCTCGTCCCGTAATGGCCATCGGAGGCTGCCTCATTTCTCTCCCAGTGGTTAAAGCACTTGGAGGCGCAGTTGTTCTTCGCGTGCTTCTGTGGCATGGTTCTCCAGCTTACCCTCCTTTCTCCCCTCCTCGTTGAAATGTGTCTCGTGATTTTTGACTCCTTGTCCCCGTTCGGTTCGGGGGCACAGAGATGACAGAATACCCATCTACGTTTCTAAATTGGAACCCGTCGTGCCCCTGTGCCTCGCCAAAAGAGCACTCCACACACAAGCGAACAAAGCTCCCCACCAACTCACCATGAAGATGAAGAGAAGCACAAGCATTATTCTCGGGTCATGTGCTGCCATCGCAGGTATGTGTGTGTGTGGACGCGTCCATGGTCTCGTCGGGGATCAGATCGATGGCCAATCGAACATGGTGCTGCTATATCTACATGCGGCTGACCTGGCTGACCAGGTTGAACATGTGTCTTGCTTCTTGAGAGAAGGGAGAAGGGAGGAGAGAGGAGGTAGGAGACTATTTTCGGGCCGGTTTCTCTCTCTCTCTCTCTCTCTCTCTCTCTCTCTCTCTCTCTCTCTC